CAGACACAGACAGACACACACAGACACACACAGACACACACAGACACACACAGACACACACAGACACACACAGACACACACACACACACACACACACACACGCACACCCACACACGCACGCACGCACGCACGCACGCACGCACGCACGCACATGCATGCATGCATGCATGCATGCATGCATGCATGCATGCATCCTCAGACATAAACAGCTAAGCGAAGCATCACTGTTGCAGAAGGAAACTCTGTGCATTTCCGGGGCCCGACGGGTGTCAAGCTTCTGGTCAGGAAGCAAGAAACCCTTTTGCTGAAGTCTTGGAAACCACAGCCACTGAAGGTCCACTCTTTGGATCATGGGCCTGGACGAGGAGTTCAACGCAGCTCGGCATCTCAAGCACCGTGCAGCTCATGTGGATGATGCACACGACGGAAAGTGGTTGCAATAGCGGCAGCGTGCGAAGCAGAAGGCTAGGGGCCTTCACCGGCTCAGCCATGAAGTTGGTAGAAGGCCGAAACAAGCTTCACCGGCTAAGTCTCCGTATTGCTGAAATGTCGAAAAAAGCATCACTTAGACCCACCTAGATATCGATGAAAAGGTCAGTTCCAATTTGGATTGGCTGGTGCATATGCAGCCCTCCGCTCAGGATGCTGTTGAATACTTGGAGCGGGCCAACCTTCCCACGGCAGACAAGTCCCGCCCCTACGGTCAGCCAGTCGTGGGAGCGAGAGCCAACTCCGGGACCTGGCAGGTTTTGATGCGTAGCCCGTGTCCACTCTGAATGACCTTCAGAAATCCGGAGAGTCAGCAATACTGAAAGCAGGCATGGGCAGCACAGCCTCTTCGAGATCAACATTCGGGCCTTTGCAGGCACCCCTTCCGGGGTAACATCGGAATCATGGTCAATTAAACTGTTGATTTGGTCTTACTTTTGCACCATGGCGTTCTTGGAGCACCATGGCCTTGAGAACCCCAAAATTCAAGACGGTCTTTTCGGAAACCGTCGTGAAATGAGACGTGCTGTTACTGATGATAATCAGCGTGTGACCATGCATGCAAGAAGCTGCATTGCAATAGCTCCGTTCTCTCCTTTCTTGACAGGTTCTTCAATTTTCCTTCGTTTCTTTGTTGTTGTCACCAACTATAATTGTTCGCAGCACCTCTGTGCTTTGTTATCCACTCCTACAAGTATCTGGAAAACTAAGTTCCTAAGTAGAGACCATTCCTGCGATTTTCTGCCATCATGAAGAGATATTAAAAGACTATTTAGCCCCCATACTCGGCCCTAGTACCGTAGCTACTCGCATCCCCGAGCCTGAGCCTGGCTCGAGGCTTGCTCTCGGCATATTCGCTCAGCGGCAAGCAAGTTTTTCTCGACACGGCCCGGCACCGACGGTAATGCGAGATTGAAGGTGAGAGACTGGGGGTGGGGGTCTGTTCAAAGCTGATGGACCACGCGCCACGCCATCATTTGGATAGCACGAAACACCACAATCCAGATACTATAGATCCCATGCTGGCACTGATGTAATCTTGGTTTGAAGAGTTGGCCTCCGAGTGCTTTCAGGGCAGATCAGATCAAGACTACACGGTTACGGGGGCGACTAAAGGACCCCCGTAGCCGCCTTCTATGCAAGCTGCGTAAGTTTCCTACTACTGTAGCTACTACTCTTTGTGACCGTTCGGCTGACTCGACTGGGACTGCTAAAGTGTCTTCCGGCCACCGTGGTCCCTGGTCTTGGCAAATATACTGTAACGGTTGGTGACCCAGGCAGTTTAATGGCAGCCTCGGGAAGCCTTTCGTGTCACAACCTTGCCCCCCACATCGAAGCATTCATGTAAAGTGTTGTCTGACACGCTATAGGCGAAGAGATTAGGGGAGAAGCTGCTGAAGGCGTTTGACACGCTGGAGACTTAGTAACATGATGCGAGCTTGTTTTCAGGGCTTTGACGCATTAGACTTGTGGGTTATGGAGATGTTGCAGTTCATCCTTTCGTGAACTTGGATCAGATTTCCAATTTCTGGTTCTGGTCTGACTTCGAGAGGTACCGGCATCGCATCGAGCCTGCTTTGTTCCAGAAAGCTTGTGCTCTCTGCAGGCCCAGCGGTATGCCGTTGTCGACGGCTGGAGACCCTGGGCGATTCTTGTCGCACCACTTGCATCGGCTGGGGCAGGGATTGGTCCTGAACCCATGCTTGCTTGCGCTCCTAGCGCCTTGCTGCCAAGATTGACATCGGAACGGGTGAAGCTGGGTCACATTCTTGGAACCAGAACGCCGTGCCTGCCCCGGTGCAGTGCCGTCGCTACCTTGTCGGGCTGATGGAGAGGGTTTCATCGTTTGTTTCTAAACGAGAAATTGCCACTCGCATTACAAAAAGCCAGAAATTGGCAGTGTCGTGTCCCAAGCAGCCGCTCGGCTTGAAGTCTTGCGATTCTCACTGCGTCAGGTGCTCGCCGAAATTACGACATTGCAGGCCCGAAGGATTGTTTAGCGCATCATTCGTGGTCTTCAGCCAGCTTTCAGGATCAGATGTTGAATCTGGGCCGTGGAATATCACATAAAAAGAACAGAGAGCCCAATCAATCATGTCAGATAAGTCCTGATGGGTAGCAGACCACCTTCCCGTTAGCAAGGATTAGAGCCGCTAAGCTCCGCCCCAGCTGCGGAGGATGTATATCTACCAGTCCAACTGTCAGCTTTGCATCCGAAGCAATGAGATAGATATCGGATTCCGCAGGTCGAGTTTCGGTTTATCACCCAAGTCACCGGTGATCGTCGGTGGCAAGGCGCAGCTGACAAGGTGCACACCGGCATGCCTGCATGCTGCTATTTCATCTGTTATTGTTGGGCTTTTCAGCTGCCAGCAGATCTGCTGCAGTGGTTTGTGCAGCTTGAAGACTTCCCTTGCTCGGACAGTCGCAGAGAGCAACTGTGGTACCAGGATGTGAGGAAAGCTCTAAGACTGAAAGCTCCTAGCTTATCTTGAATGCAGCAGCGTTTTGACACAGCGGCGGAACTTCGAGCTCCAAGCATGCAATACAGGCCATGGACGTCGTCCTCAAAGCCGCAGGCAACCGAGGTCTGGTGCCGCCAATCCCTGAGCCAACCCGAGACTGTAGTATAGGACTTCTGGCCTCGAGGGAATCAGGGCATCGAGGGCAACATCCCGGCTTCTGTTCAGGGCAACGCTTCGGGGACGTTTCGGCAGTACTCCGTGGTCATGTTTCAATCCGAAAGAGGTACGGCTGGTTAAGGTACGGCTCCGGACCTAGCTGCTTGGCCCAAGCCAAGCAAGAACTTGGCCCGGCGTCCTTCTGCTGTGACGATGGTCGCTTGGCTGTGATTCGGCGGTGTTGCTGGTGGTTTGGCGAGCCTACTTCCTCCAGCTATATTCGAAGCGCTCAATATGCTGAGTTTAGCCAGTGCAAACGGAGCCGAACATTCGAGGCTCTGCCCGGCCAGACTCAATAAGTCAATAAAAGTGTCGCAGAGATGGCTGTCCCGGCATGCCGCTGCTAGGGTGTTGTGGTCACAATTGCCTCGCATCTCAAAGCCAGCATTAAACGCGGCAGCCAAGGAGATATCAGAGAATGTCTGGCACATTGCCGGTGCGGTCCTGTTTCTCGACCTGCTCGGCTCAGTTATGCTCATTTAGCGTCAAATCATTGCTTGGCCACGAATTGAAGCTTATGATGCACTGCCAACTTAGCTTTGGGGAAGCACTTTCTTCTGGTGTTGACCAACAGTCCCATCACCGAGCCCGCTCAGGACGGCTATCCTCAAGATATGCTCGTTGATAGCAGCCGCTAGGCAGCAACAGTGGCACCCACCACCCCAAGCAGCTCAGGCAGGCAGACCCCTGCTTGATCCGCGGGCCAGGGCACGACTTCTGCAGAGTCGCGAAAGTCGGCCTGGCGTCACTGAGGTTGGTATGCACCTGGAGCGCAAGAAGCTACTGAATGGAGAGAAGCGAGACTCGGGCTTCTGCTAAGTTTTGCGGCTTGGTACATTTTTATTATCGGTGCGCATCCACCAATTTTCTGATGTAAATGCGTTGCTCGGCACTTGCCCGAGATTCCTTCGCCCAGTGTGCCTCCCAGGAAAGTGCTTGTCAGCACTGGCCATGGACGTTTGCCTACCTTGCCTTTTGTTCACCGACGTCTTGCCCGAGGCATGCTCATCGCATTTTGAGCATGGTTTGTTTGTTCGCCAACCGCAGGGAGCAAGAGCCAGGTACAGCGACAGGGAGAGAGAAAGATATATATTTTTATACACATACAGACATACGTAGGTATGTACGTATGCATGTACACATACATACATGCACACAGCGTGTTACATGGCGTGCCTTCGGCAGCCGGGGCACAGCGCCAGGGGTCAGGTTGGAGGTCCGACGTAGTTGTTCTTCAGGACATTCCATATACGTTTACCCTTAGGAAGAGATAATGATTCAAAACCTACGAGCCTTCGGCGGAAAGATGGGAAGAACGGTGTAGGCACTCGGCGTCTCTTCGCAAGATTGGCACTCGCGAGGCCAACTTCTCCTTGCTCTTGGAAGGCTGGCAGCTCCTTCTGTGGCCTTTTGCCTACGCCTCGGTGACCTGCCTGCATCTGCAGAGCAAAGAGTTTATGAAGCTCTCGGGGACATTCTCGGTCTACAGGGGAACCGGAGGCTGTCATCACTTTTGGCACTGCAACGGCTTTTCCATGCCTTCATCTTGCTAGTCCGAGCCCCACTCTTCGGCTAGGTTAGCGCTTTGCTCGGGATGCTTTGCTGCCTGGCCATCGGCATCCCTTCGCAACACTTGGGGGCTGCAGCAGCTGCTGGGCCTTACTTATGGCACAACAGGCTTGCTTCTGGAATCGTCGATGCTGCCGCTTCTGACAGCGGCAATGCTTGCAGCCATCAAGATCCAAGGCCTGCGCGGCTTTTCCCAACGTGAACGGCTTCCCCGTCTCAGTCATCAGTCAGCTGGCGTGCTAGCTGGTAGACAAGAGCAGA